TTGATCCAGCACCATGAGCTTGAAACAGTGCCTCTTTTCTACTACATATTCTCACATTGGGTCAGGCTATGCTAGATTTCACCTCAGTCATGCTTCTCCTCCTCTCGTCGTGCAGAATGACATTGAAGCAACAAGAGCAGCCCCGGCGATGAACTCTGTGAAAGCAGAGCCGACATCAGCAGCTATGCCTGCTGCTGCAGATGATGCTGAGATGAAGAAAATGCTGGAGAGGTGCAAGAGGTTGCAATCTGAGGTCAACAAGTTGTCTGAGGAGAACCGGCAACTAAAGGTCAGACGGGCAGATGAATCGGATTGTGTAAAGCACTGGCTATTGCTGTTTAGCCGAATGCTGAATTTTTTCATCATCCACGGTGATGCTGACGTGCACAATTCGTTTGTAGCATCAGTCGAACAATTAGGAAGACAATACTTCATAATTTCAATCTTGCAAAGTTGGGCTATTGGATTAACTTCGTAAAAGTACTAATACTTTGATGATATTTTTCTCAAGTACAATTAAATTACCTGCCTAAAATTTTACTCAAGTAAAAGTAAAAAGTTGTTTTAATAAAATGGCAAAATAAAAGTTAGGGTTGAGGTCAATAATCAGGCAAACAAATAACCTTGTGCCTCAAACCTACATAAAAACACACCAATGAAAGTAAGGTCTAGTTACATAAGATGTGACCTAGCTACAGGAAATAAATAATTATCAATGTAAGTATAATGAAAACAACATCACAACAGAATTAAAACAAACAAGCAATCATTGCTTTTGGGTTTAACCGGTATGCAGTACCTTCTGCTCTTCTCGGTGTCTCATTCTGTTTAGACGCTGTAGTTTTTTAATCGCAAATTTTTATATTTATTAAAAGCCAATAAACATATTTTATACTCTTATGTGGTGAAGTACAATACATTTTAAAGAAACAGCTTAATTACAGTAACACCGTAAACATTAGTAATCCGTTACTTTCCTCCTTTGCCCCCTCTGCTTTGGCAAAATCGCCAACTTTTGGCCAAATGTCCCACCCCTTATTCTCACATTTATTTCTTGACCCAATTGCAATGCAGTATATTGTTGACGCATCACATCGCTGATTAAGTTAGGAAAATGTCTAAATATCATCTGTGTGAAATGCCCATAGTCATTTGTTGGATTGACGAATACCGATTTTTACGTGTAGCCCAACCTTATAATCTAGCTTCAATTTTTTGATTAGACGTTTTAATAAGAACAACCTAAATCTCAAATGTGTAGTCCATCTTAAATGTTTCATATTTTTCAACAGGAGGAAGGCAATAGAATGAGAAAAATGCCCCGCTCGGACCACATGACGTCAAACTCAACTAACGTCCTTGGCCGGGAAAATAGCGTCGCCTTTCTGCCCTCTCTCCTCGTCGTCATAGCAGCCATCTTCATTGGATTTTTCTCTGGGAAGTTCATCTTGTAGACTGGAAGATGCATGCCAGCCGTGTTCCCTGCTCCGGCTTCTGAGAAAAATAATGAAATAAATAAAGGCCTGGAAAAAAGCAAGAAGTATTTTGTTGACTTTGCCATATCATTGATTGTGTGGCCTACAGTGAACACATCTGTACAGCATCATTCAACGGCATCGTCTTTTTTCAATCTCACACTATTGTTGCCCCCGAGAGTTGATTCAAGAAGGTAAACCTAAACAATTAAGTACTCCCCTTTATGGTTCTCACGCCTTTTAACAGCTGGTTTACAGTTTGATGGGAAAGTAAAAGTTAAGTGTCACCCAAAAACATGGAAGATGCAGACAGGCGGAATTGCACAAGGCGGCCCAGATCTTATTCCTTTCTCTCCATGATGTCAATAGGAATAGAAAGGAATGTTAGACTTCCTGTACATGTTAGATTTAACTGTAAAGGACAGAACCGTTTAAGCAGACCTTGTTGCTGGATTACCTCTGAAATTAATTTGTAATTTTTGTCTTCTTTCTGTGGGAATGTCCAGGTTCAGCTGGGGATATAGGTGCCTCGTTCTTGTGCATTTGTCCTGTTGTTTTCCTTACAGCACCAATGCAGACTATTATTATTATTATTATTGTTATTATTATTATCATTATTATTATTATTAATAACCATACCACAGCACATATTCCTTCTGAGGCAAATATTTACTGAAAATGTGGTTTTCATTTTTAAAATTCTGTTCCATGGTATTGATCACTAACTAAATAAAATAAAATATGTGGTTTTCATTGCTCTCCTTTTCTGTGTCAATGCATGTACATCCGTCTTAATATTTATTATCAACCATTTATTTTCTTTTTTTGTTTTGAGAATTAAGCAGTGGAATTTCTGCACCTCATGATAGAAAACCTGCAACAGAGACCATGTGTCATTAATAAACCGCAGTGAAAATATGCTATATTTAAAATAGTGGTAGTAGCTAAGAAGAGTAACAAAACTACCTAATTTTACCTTTATAGTGGGAAAGTTTATTCCAAGAAGGTCTTGAATAATGTTTGGTGATTCGATCTTTTACCAAACAGATTTTTTCACTAAATGTTTTTTTAAGTACTTTCATTTCTAGAACTTTAGGGCAAGATCTGCTGTTATAATTTGACTAATTTTAGGCCAATTATGAAAAGATTGCAGAGCTTTCTTTATACGATGCTTATTTTCTGTGAAGCATAAACCTCTGTCAAAGCATGTAATCATGTAATCAGCAGAAACTCCTGTAGAATCGTGGGAAAAGGCGTCCACACCAAACTGGCTGGGGTTCTGAATGTTGAGCCCTTCAGAATAAAATATCTGTTTTTGAATGTTTTTCAAGTGTCAGAAAATGTCTTTCATCTGTGAATTTTTTATAACTACAAGCAAAAAAATCTTTTAAAAAACAGGCTTTTAAATGTTTTGATTTTTGTGTTTTTGCTGTTCCTAGAAATATTTGGACAGTAACATGATAGTGTTAACTTTTTCCACAGTCATTGCACAATAACCAGCTTTAAAAAAAACAGCTGTCTTCTTTTGCAGCTTGTTGGATCCTCCTACCTTGTGTTTGTCTTTAGTGAAATGCTCAATTTAGTTGATCTGATTACTTATTGCACAATATTCCAATTTCTTGCTGCCCTTTGCAAGGACTGTTTTTGTTTTGGGTTGTTGTCCACCTATGAAACGCTTAACAATAATTTGGCTGTTTCTGTTTCCTGTCGCATCATCAGACATGACCACAGAATGACACTGCCTCCACCGTGTTGTACTGCACTATACGTCTAGATGTTAAATGGATTACACTTTGAGATGAATCCTCTGTATTGGCTTTCATGGAGTTTTTTCCTAATGATGGATACTGATTCATTCTTGCAGAGTTTTCCTCACTTGGGTGAATATTGTGACTGTGATTCTTGCCCACTGACGAGCAGGTCTTTTTGAGTTCACTAAAGTACTAAAGGTGTATATATACCGGTATCTAAAATATTCCCACACAGGAGACATTAACCACTCCCTAGGTGGAAATGGAGTAGTCCAGATGGTTGTCACTGGTTCTTTTGCGTGCACGAGTTCAGTTTCACTTTTGTTTTTGCCTGTGCTTGTTTTTTATAGGCGGTGTTGGAAACGTCTTTACCGGGATTAACCTGGGTTAATAGTCAAGCCGGTTAATCCCTGCAACCCTAGCTGTGTGTGCTTACTAGCCTGGAAATTCATTCTACTGTATATGTGTGACTATATAGTCTGTCCACGACCCTTTGACAGCTCTGTCGTGGGGCGGGATCTACAGTTGTCTTTCAAACTGTCTCCACATTCTATTGGACAACAAAAAATGTGACGTACTCACCGCTACAGGTGTCAGTCAACGAGGCAGTATGCCATACATTTTCTTTTCCAAATAAACCTGGGTAACAATCTGCTCTTGACTCAAAAGCCCAAGTCTAAATAGTCCGAAGTTGATGCCAAAGCCATTTCAAGTAAGCCATCGCCATTTTAGTTTCACTCAATCACAGTACCACAGTACCAGCCTCCAGAGTAACCGGGTTCCAATAGAGCGTGGCTAGACCAACATGCAGAGCAAATTCCTTTTGCTTTAGCAACTGACTAGATTTCAAGGCCAGGTGTATACCACATCTGGAATAAACTTTATGAGGAGAAGGTTCATGCAACCCTTTGAGTTGTCTAAATTATCTTTGGTCCTTTAAAACAAGGCCTTTCTTCAGTGTGGTTGGACAACCTCAAATTCGTGCTGAGATTAAGTACATTAAACCCAAATTGATTATATAATTGTACATTGAGTATGATTTGGTATAGCAAAACCTTTCATTGTCCTAATATTTCTGTGCCTCACTGTGTTTCACTTTTAGGAAGTGGACCGGGAGCCCTAGACAACTGTCCGTAGCCTCCCAATCCACCTATGGTGGTTGGCAGTTGTTTCAAATATCTGTCTAAAATTGCCCAACAATCAGCAGGTTTTCACTTCTCGACTACAAACGATCAGGTTGTACTAAACACTAAGTGCTTTTAAGATCATCCAGAGAAGTAATTTAACTGTAAAAATGTCTTTAGAGTAGGGATGGATACCGAATTTGGTACTTTTTAAGGTACCGACCGAATTCCACAGTACCGACCGAGCACCGATTCACTTCATTTGAAACGGTGCCTCGTTTTGGTACCCTTTCTTCACAACGAGAACTTGCCTAGACAGCTGCACATGCGCAAGAGCGTTATGTGACCTGGGGACATCCTGAGACCGGTTTAGTGGCACTGCGGTTGCTTCTACATACTTCGGTACCTTTGGGGTCTACGGACTTCCTGACATTCCGGATCTACCACAGGGGTCTTCGAGCTGGTACGTAGACTCGACAGATTGTGTCTGATGTGGTTTTATAAACCATCAACGTATAGGTATAGCAGACCAAATTTACTCCCACTCAGAACTCAGTTTCTTCAGATACGAGGGTTCTGATAACATCGCATTCACACACCATCACATCTCACATCCCATCCACTTAAATTCATTCATTCATCACAAAGTGTCCAAGTTGTCATGTTTTTAATTGTTTACAAAATAAATTTCTTACTTTTTATAAACTTGACTCTCTTCTTGAATTAATACGAAGTGTCTGACAATCCCTGAATAAACACAGAAATCTAAATCTTCTGGTTAAACATTCAAAGACCAATCCGACCTGATTTCCATATTTATATAGAAATTCACATCATATTGGTCAAATGTTGTTTAGTATACTGGGTTTAAAAAGCACCCAAAATAAATTTGTATGCTACTCCTACACACATCTATTTCAGGTCTTTATTTCTTGTAATTTTGATGATTTTTTTTACAGATAGAAAACTTCAAATTCAATGTCTCAGAAATGATTTTAAACGGAATTGTCAGGCTTCGGAAAATATTGTCATGCCTGTGCCGCTGCTGATGTTTACTGGAAGCCCGGGTTGCTTTAATAGCTGGTCATTTGCACTGTTGGGTCTGATGCCTGACATCTCCTCTGAATGGCCACCCATTGATTAACCATGGTCATTCAACCATCTTTTGGTACTTTTAGCAACGTAAGCAGGTGCCAAGTCCTTCTGGGCAATGAAACCAGCTGAAGGAAGCCTGAGCTCTAAAATGTTCCTGTAGCTGTCTACATTGACTGTGACGTTCAGAAAACACCTTGGACCAACAACAGGTTACGAGTCACATTTGAACCATCACTGACTGTGGAAACCTTCCCTGGACCTGGAGCATCTTGAATTTGAACCTGTCCACTCTTTCTCTGGGAGCTTTATATCAAAATGACATGAAAATGTTTCTTTCATTCTGGACCACTGAGCAACGTCCAGGTCTTTTTCCTCCTCAGATTAAGTGAGTCGTTGCTGACATCTCTGGTTCAGGTGAGGCATGACATGATCGGTCTCTTGATGCTCTGACTCCAGCCTTAGTCCACTCCTGGTGAAGCTTCTCCAGATTCCTGTTGCACCTTTTCCTACCAACTTCTTGAGATTTAAGCTTGGATAAAGCACTCTGGGAACAAGCAGCTTCTTAATGAGATTTAGCGTTTTCCTTTCCTTGTGGATGGTGTCGGTTACTGTTTTTTGGACCGAGTCCACTCTACTTTTAGATCCATACATGAAAAGCTTTTATAAGATTACTGTAGCTCCCATTTCAGGGAAAAGCATCTCACAGGCTTTTTCCTCAGGACAGGGAGGCAGTCGTTAACAAAATGCCGTACAAAATGTCTTTTGCATCATGAATTCATGATGCAACGCTGCAGGTTTTAACACATTAAGGATTGTGGAATCAGACAGGTGGTTCCACTCTAAAGTGCAGTTTCTGCGGTGCAGCCATGTCCAGTCATTGGCAGGTGTTGGGGAGTTCAGGTCTCCTCTTTTTGTCCAAAAGGGGAATCTACAAATGTGTAGTTTTTGTTTTTCACAAGCAGTTTTTATGTTTATATGCAAGTTCACACTTTTTTCTTTTACTTTTGGTGCAGGAAGACAATCCTCCTAAAAACAAAGCAGAGCAGTGACGATAGCCAGCGCGATGTATTTGTGGAAGCTTCTGTGCCATCCTGGGCTATCGCTGGAATACAGCAGCAAACTCTCCTCCTCCTCTCTGCTGTGATCAGATCGCTGACTGCTTGATGAGCACTGAATCAGGGGCATCTGATAGGAGGTGGCCCGTTTCTCCGGTCGGTCTGGGCTGGTGCCGTCGCTGGGCCGCTGACCGTTGTAGAGCAGATAGTGACCGTGAGCATCCTGCTCCATGCGGAAGAGCTCGTACTCCGTATGGGGAAGCCGAATGCCCAATGCCACGCAGCCATTGGTTAGGGTGACGTCCTGCTCCACGCCGACCTGCCATGATCCCTGCACGCCGCACTCATTACCGCTGAAGACGTTTAGAAGGGAGGTGGTGGTAAAGTCCATGGGCGTCACTCTCATGTGGTTCACTAGAGGAATTTCATTAAAAGTTAAAATTTCTACGTTTATTTGCTTTTTTGTCACACTTATTATTGTTTCAGTGTTAAAGATGATCCGAGTTTCTCATGAGGACCAAGGTGGTTTGGGGTAACTTGATAAATCTTAATTTCAAAACAGGCATTTGTGTTTTTGTTTGCTGAACTGAAACCATAAAATTAGTGTGACAAAACTAAAACTGAATCTCAGTGACATTTAAAAGCTGAAAGTTTGGCTTGGTTACCTTTAAAGACAAAGTCCGTCCCTCCCATGACACGTGTAGAGTGGAGCCCTCGGCTGTAGCGTCCCTGGGCGTAGATGGTGAAGGTGGGGTGTTTACAGGTGGGGTCTGAGTAGTGGTAGTAGTGACCCTCCCAGGTGTGGTTGTTGTCATGGAAGATGAAGTGGCGGGTGAGGAAGAGGACCTCGGGCCGCACTTCGCAGTGTTGGCTCACCCACTGACCGTACAGCCCAACGGTTGGGTCAGCCCGCGGCGGCAGGATGGGCGGGTGGAACTCATCTGAGCGGTAGATGATGCGACAGGCGATGCAGCTGTGGTCATGATTCTGAAAATAATTAACATGAACCCAATTAGCCAAGGTGTAAGGAAGGGTCAAATATCCTGTTAATTTGTTCAACTCTTCCTTTAGCTAGGTATATTTAGTTATTCTGAAATCTTATGAATGTTTAATGTGTTACAAAAATTGTTAATATTTTTGAGTCTGCTGTGGCGAAGGGCCTTTATTTTAATCTACAGGGTCATGCACAGTTGACACATTCACAAGATTCAGGGCTGCACAGCTGTGGCCAACAGTTCTGAGAATGCACAGGTTGGTTCTCAGTTTGCCATTGCGATGTGTATGCAAAACATCATTAGCAGGGAGAAGTTGCTCTCAGACGTCATTTAGATACCAACATTTGAGGCTCTACACTGGTGGTGCACAAATCCTGCAGACAGTCTTCTGAGATGGCATTCTTTGGAATGTTCTTTAGACTTTTAGTCATATGTTTTAATGCACTATGCACATCGGTAGACACTTTAACCCTCTGGAGGCAGGCATTGCAGATTTGAAAAGTTAAAACCTACCTACCTGGTTACTCCACATAATTCATGAGCATTTTTAACTCAGAAGTACCCCTGAAGGACTTAGTTGTTCGTCCTTTTATCAAAACTTATTTGGAGCCTGAGAGGGTTGAAAGGGAGTTTTTTGATATAAAAATATTGCATAAGAGTGCTAAAGTGAAGCATGAATTTAATCATTAGGAGCTACCAGGGTTCTCATAAAACAACTTACATGCTAATCGCTTTTTAATCATTTTTCCTTTAAAAAAAAGCTTTCAGTATTATTGAAATAGAATAATAAAGAGGATATTAAAGATTTTCAGCATTAGGTGAGAAAACCCAAAAGGACTTGAAGTCAGTCTGCTAAGAGAAAAGCCCATTCCTTCAGTCTGAATCTGGAGCCAGACGAGGCTCCAGCATCCACTTGGTGATCACATCTTTTTACGGTCCAGTACAGATGTTTGGGTGAGCTGGATCCAGGACAGTGAGCAGCAAAGAAAACAATGTGTTCAACAGTCGTGAATTCATAAAAGAAGATAATCATTCATAAAATCCCCATTAATCATATTAGGTTCATGGCTGGTCTGGTTGAGCAGCTGTGTGGGTATTCCAGACTAAACAGAAGAGTTTGCCAATTTTTTTCTGAAGACTATAAAACTCCTATTAGATTAGTAAGTTTGTGTTATGTGAAAAGTGGTTAAAATGTAACACAAAACCTAGTCGGCCATATTTTTCCAGACAATATGTCTGCACGGGGTTAACAAATAAAAGAAATCCACAGATGAGATAATCCCACTGCAGCTCTATAAAACCACTTTGGAGTAAAAGGTTAATGGGATGGCTGGAAAGGAAGCATCCTGAAATTCTAGCTTTGTGTGGGCATGTGCAAGGGTGGATGTCTTCGTATTCTCACAGTTGCTTAACATTAAAAGTTCTTGAAGTGTGGGAAATAACAGCCATAGCCTGAATAAATCAGTTCATAGCAATGCAACAGGAAACTATCATAAGGTGTAAGTATAACATCACATAAAACATGAAATGCTACACATAGTATGTTGTTTAGTACGACCTCACATGATGCATAGAATACTACACGTTGTATAGTAAGATGTTTAGTAGGACCTCAAAATGTTACACACCTAGTATATTTAGTATGGCCTCAGATGACGCATAAAATGCCACACATACTATAGTATGTATAGTATGACCTCATATGACACAAAATACTACCCACAGTATGATTAGTATGACCTCAGATGACATAAAATACTAACATAATATAGTAAGTTTAGTTATTACACATGATTCATAGAATATTTGTCAGCATTTTTACTAAAATCAAGAGACTTTTCAAGAATAAAACTACTAGTTAATGATCATTATAATATTGAAATGGATCTGAAATGCCAGTTGTTATGGGTCAGTTACAAATGTGGGATTAGAGTTTGTTTTTAATGAAGAGCAAGTGATTCTAGTTTCTGATTGATGGGGGAAGGAGGTCCAGAGGGTCTGGAGTTTGCTGGTGAGGCCAAGTTACTTGTGGTCTTAAAAGTTTGGAATTGATGAGTTTTATGAATGAACAATTAAGTGAAGAAATCCAAATCCCCAGTCATCAAAAAGAATGAGTTCAGTTTAAGTGTTTTTTTTACCTGAAGTTTAAATGTAGTTAACATGACTTTCTATAAAGCCAATAGTTTCATGAAGTTTTCCCACACAAACAGATGCCGTGAGATCAGAGGTTAAGACAAATGCCTTTAGTTCAGCATCTTTTGATTTGGGGACACTTGGAGCTCATCTGGTTCTGGTAGTTTGGTTGGGTTGGTGTGTAGGAGTTTCAGGGTTCAATTCCACAGCAAATGCTACATTTTACGTTTTGTGCCTCGATGAGGGGGCTGATTCCCTCCCTGAGTTTCTCAGAGCCAAATGTGGGCCGTTATGTTGATTGGAATTCTGCCAAGCTGGGATTTTCCATTAGTAACAAAATACTCAGTATCAAGTTACTTGGCCAAATAAGTACCTTACAGTAACTATATCAAAGTAAGTTGGCCAAACAACTATGTATATTTGAAGACCTTCATAGTTCTTAGGCCAATTTACATAACTAAATATATTAGCCAAAGTAAGTAACTTGGCCAATTTAGTAAAAAGTTAGTAGCATTTATTTGTTTAGTAATAGGCCTTGGCTAAGTTCAAATACTATGCCTGCCTACTAAATGCTACTAACTTAATTGGCCAAGGTCAAATATGTCAGCCAACTAACTTAGTAGGCCAACTTGCTTAATTAATTAACTAAAAATGTTGGCCAACTATTAAGGCATATGTAGCTATACATAGTTGTTTGGCCAACATACTTTAATAGCCTAGTTACAGTAAGTTACTTATTTGGCCAAGTAACTTGGTATTTTGCTACTTCTGGAAAGTAGTAAAATACCAACATAATGCCCCACAGTCGGCTCTGAGAAACTCTGGGAGGGACCTCCAATCCCTTTCAGAGTAGTTGCATTGATCCAGGCCCAGTCAGTCACAAGTTTGATTTAAACCAGTTGCTGCGCCACTGACGACTCATGAACACAAACCTATCCCACTGCGCCACCAGAACCCTTCTCACTTTCAAACGTTCTGGTGGAACATTTCAACTTGTCCTTTTAAACGTTAGTATTTAAAATGTGAACTGTCAATATACCCACCAAGAGTATTTCTGCAGGGTTTGAACCCTGAGCCTTCTGCACACCAGCCCAGGACCTTACAGACTGAGTTACACAAGAAGCTACTAACATGTTGTTTTTTAGAACATTTCATGTTTTCTAGAAGTCACACAAAATGTAAAATTTACCAATCTTCTGTAGTTGAACCCTGATCCTCCCACTCACCAAGCCAGCAACTTTTAGACTGAGCTATACAAGTAGTCACTAATTCAATGTTTTTTAGAACATACCATGTTTTTGAGGTTGTGCAAAACGTAAAATGTAGCATTTGTTGTGGAATTGAATCCTGAAACTCCTACACACCAACCCAACCAAACTACCAGAACCAGATGAGCTCCAAGTGTCCCCAAATCAAAAGATGCTGAACTAAAGGCATTTGTCTTAACCTCTGATCTCACAGCATCTGTTTGTGTGGGAAAACTTCATGAAACTATTGGCTTTATAGAAAGTCATGTTAACTACATTTAAATGTCAGTTCTTCAACTACCAATTTTTAATGACTTGGGATAAATTTGTAAAATTACCCCTTGTTGAAGTTTTGGACTTTTTTGCAGATTAATGTGGCAGTGTGAGCGCCCTGGGATGTCCCTTTGGCTGACTAGTTAGCGCGCATGACTCTCACCCAGGAGTCTGGAGCTCGAATCCTTCCTGGGCCCTTGTTTCTCCACCTTGCCACATAAATTTTTCGAAATCTGAAATGTTTTCCAAAATACCCACTAAAGTACTTAAATCTAGTAAGTTTTTCAGAGTTCCTTCTGTTGCTGTGTCAGACATTTAAAGTCCTTATAAATATATTTTTGAGAGTTCAAGACTAATTTTGACCCTTGATTTTCATATAAAACACTTGTGTTTTTTAACTTCTCAGATTTTAGAATGAAAACAAATGAAGCTGGAGGATTTGAACTTACACACGCCAACTGTCCAGCCCCTTCCCTTGCTGCTTGAGCTACTTGATTCAAACAAAACATAACTGTCTTAATCTTGATTATATTACACTTTCAGAAATTTTCTAAATAGCAAGGTTTTGATCATTTTAAAAAGTTATGTAATTAACCAAACATTTTTTTATTCATATCATTTTTTTAAATGACAAATGTATAAATTAACTTTTAATTTTTAATCACAACAACAATAAGTGAAACGTTTACCTGAATATTTCCATTATGTAGTCAGTCTAGATTGTAAAATGGATTTAAACACTTACATGCATCAGAAAAATATCTACAGATGTTGAGGAGATCATATATACTGTAGTATTACTTTTTATCTTTCTATGACTCCATCTACAGCCGGGGTGCCCATTTCTGGTTTAGTTTTTTCCAGCTCTTAACACACCCGATTCAGTGGTTGTATCACTAGTTCAGCACCTCATCAAGCTCCGCAGAAATCACCTGCTGATTGAAATCAGGTGTGTTGAAGCAGGGAAACAAAGAAAACATGCTGGATACCAGCCCTCCAGTATCAGGATTGGGCACCGCTGAGCTACAGCATGACCTTTTTTACATTTTAATGACTATATTTTTTTTCATGAGTTTTCACCTTTCCATGATGCAATCTATAGTATTACTTTTTTACATTTTATTGACAAAGACTACTAATCCTTTTTTATTACCTTAAATGACTATAGTATCTATTTATTCATGACACCGTTTTTAGCTTTTGACAACTTTTTTTTTATCAGTTTCACAAAATATACTATAGTATAACTTATTTTTTATAGTTTCATGACACATCCTATAGTATGACATTTATCGTTTCAAGAAATATACTATACTATTATATTTTTTACAGTTTCTGGAAACACTGACGTGTATAACATTTTTACAATCTCAGAAAACAACCATAGAAAGCCATGTAAACTACATGGCTTTAGGAAACATACCCTAGTATAACTGTTTTTAATCTGTTCATGATACAATTGTACAACATTTTTACATTGTTTCATTGTTGTGGCATTGTTTCATAAAACACACAACTGTTTTACCATTTTTTGGCACACTATAGTGCAACTCTTTTTACCATTTCATTAAACACACTTTAGTATAATGATTTTACAGTTTGATTACATATTATAGTATACCGGTACTTCCTTTTAACCTTTTCATGACACATACTGGATGAGACTGTGTCCAGGGCAGAAGTGGAGAAACCTGAGAAGTTCATTAAACAACTTCACCATAAACATTTAAAAGACCAAAGAATTCATCATGGACTTCAGGAAAAACAGGAGGGACCACGCCCCACACCAGATCAGTGGAGATGGTGACCAGACCTTTTGATTTCTGCTGACACCTGGACCTGCAGGCTCTGCAGCAGCTACATTACCTGCACATCCACAGGATGGACAAACTGGACACAAAGCTACTGCTGACCTTCTACTGCTCCTTTGTGGAGAGTTTTGACTACATACTGTCTGCCTCTGTGTGTGTTACTTCTGCACATTATGTTGCACCGTAATATTTACAAACATGACAGGAAATGTCATCGTACCATCAAAACAAGATGACAATTTTCTTTTTAATGCATCTTTTACCAAAAATATTAATGCAGTTTTGTTTTCATTGTTTTACCATGCAAGGCAGGGTGCCTGGACGCTTTTCTGGACAACTTGATTTATTTCCTCACAAAAACCTGCCGATAACACCCTGAACACTGATACATTTCACATGCTTACCAGAACTCAGCAATGGTTTGTGCATTCAGAAAATGTTCTAATGGTTTTAAGATCCCTTGATCTATCCTTTGTTTTACCCATCTGTCCTGTACTACAATGTTTCACCATTTTTTGTACTTTGTATTTAGTAATTTAATTTGCTTTTATTTTTGAATTGCTTTTATTTTTGATTTATTCACTATATTTGTACTTCTACTGTACCATGTTCAGCGCCTTGGGCTTCCTGACAGGGTTGCGGAAGGCGCTTTATAAATAAAGCTTTGATTGATTGATTGATTGATTGATTGATTGATTGATTGATTGATTGATTGAAAATGAGAAGTTGCGTTTTCAAGTCTATTTAATGTTATGATAAACACTGTACCACTGTTGCAGGAAGTCGCAGAAACAATTTGTCTCACACTCACGAATGGTGGCGAGTAAGGGACAGAGCTGCAGCAGAGAGACGGTCATCACAGCTACGATTGGCTGTAGCAGCGGAACGAAAAGGAAAAAAAAGGACAATGACCATTTGTGCTGTCCTCTCAGCTCAAGAACTCAAATGCAGAGTTAAATCAAATCATTTGTCGACCTGAGGAGAGTTGAAGCAGGGCAACAGAAAATGTAACTTAAAGAATAAAACCTGATTTCCTGTTGCGTCACTGTTGAGCTCCAACAAGTAACCACAAATGAATAGGTTGGCACCAGCTAATACGTTGGACTAGGACTAGTTCTTGGCACAACTCTTTAAAATTATTGGACTGGATGGTCACCGTGGCAATAAAACCCTCTGAAAAGAAACTATTACAACCTCAAGAGGTGGTCAACTTAATCCTTCCCATTAGTGGCCTATTATGCTGTAAAGCCAAGAAAACGTACAACTTAAGACCAAATTTCCTTCATGATTTCATCTGATGACCAAACAAGTGTGTTTCTGTGGAAAGAACATTGAATTAATACCTTACCTTTTGAAGTTAACCCTTTCAACGGCCTGACAATAGTTCTGATGGCTTTTACGAGTTTACGATTCGCCACGGAGATGCTAATTTTTACACTTCCATAAACGTGTCATTACATGGTTATTCACTTAGAATTCTGTTTTTGTGGTAGAAATTAGCAGCGCAAGCTAGCTACTAGCTAGCTGCACTTGTGGACCAAATTCGAACACTTTCAGCAGTAATTCTATAATATTCCCATTAGAAAACCATGTAATGGAACACAGAGGGGATTTAAAATCATTGTTCAGGTGAGTTACAGAAATTTTGAGATTGGGGTCTGTTGTGTGTCTATCTTACTTCATTAATCAGATAGGACACTCTGAATTGAATCAATACTTGCTTTAATGAACACCTCCTGCTTCATTACATGTTGCTTCCCGCCAGCCTTATTCCATTCCACCCACTTCTTTGTTCTTCTTCCTACGTCCCGTTGCGTCATCACGTTCCCAATACATGACAGGGCCATTTGAAAACTTAGCTCAACTAGCTGTTAGTTTTTTCCAAATTGAGAGCTTTCCACAACAGGTAAGACATCCACTGTTCATAACCGTCACAAAGAACCTCTCTTCAAAAGATCTTCTCTACTGTTGATCACTGAATTATTTTTTAACCAGAAAAAGAAAATAATCACGAGGGCCGGAAATTTGAGCTCACACTTCAACTTGAGCCTCAGGCATGCATGAAACCAAACCTGGTATGTGCTTGCTGGGATGTTTAATACAGCTGCATGATTCCAAATTCTAGGAATACCACATGTTGCTTGTTCCCAGAGATGGACCCGGCTTCACGCTGCAGCTCTGCAGGCCAAAGAGCGCTACAGGAGAAAGGCTTTGGGTCATTACAGCCCCACGGGGAAGCTTGGCTCATCTATCCACGTTCTGTTTATGTTCTGATCAGCAACACAAAGCCCCATCGTCACAGTGAAAATGGGTATTTATTTAGATAGCCGACTCCAACCGGACTTCAATGTGAACTTTGTAGACTGTGACAGTAAAAATATGACTCCAGGATTTCAGCCAACTGGGAAACTCGTGTTGAGCAGAGTAAACAGAGAAGTTACATCCTGTCAGCACAAAAGAGAGGGAGGATGCTCTCTTGATGCTAGATTTGGGAAATAAAATCCAATTTTTACAGATTTCTTCTCCTCTTTACTGAAAATGGTGTTATATGACATTAAAGGGGTCTATTCTTTTCTTTGCTTTGGCTTTAAAGGTCAGGTCATGCTCTTGCCAGTGTGTGTGTATGTGTGTGTGTGTGGTCTTTGGGGTGATGGAGGTCAACGCAGTGGGAATGCATACTAGAGATCACATAGTTGGGACGGAAAATGACCCTCTCTCTGACCCTTAAGTATGATAGAATGAAATTCTGCAGGTGGGGAGAAGTTCTCAAATTCTTGTTGATAAATCTGAGCCTCAAAGCATCTGAAACCCTCAGATGGCAAGAAATGAAGTATAAAATTAATCAAAATACAAACAAACCCATTACGCTGACACTTTGGACAGACCTTGGCATTCTGCAGGGGGTTCTGGTAGCTGGACGGTTTGTAATAGAGTCTCTGCGACGGCTCAGTGTGGATGTCTCCCAGAAACAGCTCCTCCACCAGGTGATCCGGGTTGTGAAGCAGGTACTGCTTCTCCACCCTCAGCAGCTGCAGCTCGTGCATGGTGAAGTTGAGCTCCTTCGAGCAGTCATGACCTCCCTCTTCATTCCACAGCTCGTAGATCACGCCAGGCTCCCAGGGGCCCCTCACGGCCCCTCTGCAGCTGTAGTTGAGCCTCTGGGTGAGCTCTTTGGCCACCGTGGCTGTGTGATACACAATCTGGACACGGTGGAGTTGGTAGTCTGCTTCTGTGCCTCCACGGACGATCCATGAGGCCTGGCGTAGGCGCAGGCGACCGTGGCTCACCAGCGTGTAGGTGGGTTTGATGCAGTGGTTGTCCTCGTAGTAGAACTGGTGGGCCTGGAAGGTGTTGTTGGGGTAAAACCTGTAGGAGCGAGTTAGAAACTCTGGACCGGGTCTCACCTCACAGCTGCAACGAAGAACAAAGCAAACTCAGAAAAACATCTCAGGTCACGATAGACTTCTTCTGGTACAACGTTTCTGAGAATGTAATTGTTACTACAGGGTCTTAGAGGCATTTCAGGACCTAATTCAGAGAAGGTCTAAGAAGTCATAAGACTTCTATCTAGAACGACCCTAACATGCCATCAAAGGCATTGTGTGTACAAAATCAACAACCTGGTGGACACCCAGTGGCCTTCCACATGAGGAGGCATCTGCACGGTGATCCGGGCTCCGTTGTGAAGGTGCTTCAGCATGTGTTGGCAGCGAGAGTCTTTGTTGGATTGGCCGAAGGTTTTCCCCAGGGAGAGATGACTGTCTGCGGAGCCTTCAGCCCAAACTGTGGGGAAAAATAACACAAAAGGAAGTATAACTTCAAATTATACCTCGGATTGTGTGTGTTTTTTATTTATTTATTTATTTTTTAAAACAGTAATTCATGAAAGGTTTTAGATACTCTGGAATCTAAAAGTACTCAGTTTTAAACATCGTTAATGAGTTAGAAATAGTTAAAGAGCAAGTCACCCCCTACCAGAGTCTAACTCCACTCCCACTTCCTGTTTGAAAAATGCAACAAATGCTGTTGCCTAGCAGACCGAGGGGGCGGAGCCGCTAACAAATACACACACACAGACTCATGACAGCATTGTGACATCATAATGTACCAGTTTACATCATAGCATACCTCTTAGCCAATAGCGGTGGCAGATTTAAATTCAAATACAGTGCATAGTTATTACCTGACAACGGCACAAAACTGAGTTTTAGGCAGAATATTTAAATTTTAACTAAGTTGCGCTGAAATGCCAAATTATTGACTACATGTGTCTACAGCACGATTAGACACTCGTTTATTTGGTTTATCAGCAAAAAACAAAGTTGATTTGGGGGTGACTTGCTCTTTAAATTCAGCAGCGCCTTTGATTCTGCATTTTTATACCCCAATAAATGAAGTACGAGGGCTTTCTAGACGACTAATAAAATGAGTTAATAATGGAGCGATCAAAGAGAGGAAGAAGCTGCTCTACTGGCTTCCTGCTTTCAATTTACCAGCCTCCTTTGAAGAGTTTAATTTAAGTCATTTCAGTCACATTGGGAACTCCAGAACTCCATTAGAGGTCTGAATTCACTAACCGAGGGTGAGCTGGTCAAATCTGAAGAGCTGATGAGCCAAACTTCTGCTCCTGAGTGGACTTTGCATCAAAACAGAGGAAACGAGAAGACAATGTCACAAAATGTGCGTTCTCCATCCACCAAAGGAAAAACAATGACTTCTGCTTCGGAACAAACTTGAAGGGATAAGAAATCGGAAATTAAAAAATTTCCAAGGACAATACAAACCTCGAAGCTGGCATTCCACTGAGGGTTTATTCTACTTTAATACTCTAATATCACCCAAATCTACCTTGAAAGACTTCTGCAGATTCCTTCAACATGACCAGACTTTAATGCTCAGGAATGCCACTGCAGGTTGTGATTTTAATTTGAGACTAATAACACCGCAAAGTACAAAAAGCATCAGATTGAAAGAAGGCAAAAACTCCGTGAAGACCAAACTCCCTCCAGCTGTTTCACAGCAGCCCCATTGTGTTTCGCTCAGCCTGCGTTTAAATCCCCACATCACAGAGCCGCTCAGCGGGAACTCTGGGCAACGCGGGGGCTTGATCTCCGACTCAGCCCTTGGCATTAGTAACGCTGATTTGGTCACCAGGGAGGCGTCAAAGAAAGATGTGTCAAAAATCAGGGAAAGATCCGAACAGCTACCCAGTGTTTGAAAACAAAGAGATCAGAAAAATGTGAGGTTTTCTTTTTGTGTGTTTGATGAAACCTTTATGAAACATCAGGTGAACTGTGCTCAAAACAAAAGTCGAAACTGAAACTTGAGGCAGGGGCAGCAAAAGTTGCTAAAAGTTCTAAAGAAACAAAAATACTACAGACGAGTTAAAAAAGTGAAAGATCAAAGTCACTAAAGTTAATCTGAGTGGTTCTGTTGGAGGTTTCTTCCTGTTAAAGGGAGTTTTCCTCTCCACTGTCGCTACATGCTTGCTTATGAGAATTGCTGTAAAGTCTCTGACACAAGTCAGTGACTTGATGGAATCTGCTGGGTTCCGTATACAAGAAACATTTTACTAATTGGCATAATGAACTCAATTCATTTGGAATGTTGAGTTTGTGAAGTGCCTTGAGACGACTCGTCGTGATTTGGCTCTTTATAAATGAACTGAAATGAATTTGGTAGAAAAGATTTGCAAAGCTCAGACATGCAAGTGGGATTAGATCGAGTTGATCTTCTGCTTCTGCGGAAGACCAAATGACCAGCAGAGCAGACGTAGAAATGGAATGTGGCCCTCATTAATCCACCCGTCTTCCATCCTTAGAGATCGTGATCATCTGTAGCACTTATAGACGTGTCTCAGATTCAATTCAATTCAATTCAAGTTTATTTATATAGCGCCAAATCACGACAAGAGTCGTCTCAAGGCACTTCACATAATAAAAAATTCCAATTCAGGTCAGTTCATTAAGCCAATCGGAAATAATGTTTCCTATATAAGGAACCCAGCAAATTGCATCAAGTCACTGCCTAGTGTCAGTGACTATACAGCAATCCTCATACCAAGCAAGCATAAAGCGACAGTGGAGAGGAAAACTCCCTTTTAACAGGAAGAACCCTCCAGAGAATCCTGGCTCAGTATAAGCAGCCATCCTCCACGACTCACTGGGGATCGAGAAGACAGAGCAGGCACACACACACACACACATTGTGTGAAATGACTCTGGCGTGTTGTTCCAACACATCAAACAAACCGATGATAAAGAAACTGCATCTGTGTAACCTCGAGTGCTGCTATGAGCCACCACATTTGGTAGAGAATCGTCTTTCATATAATAAGCTGCTGGACATGATACAGAGCACATTCATGTGTGCATGATGGAAATGATGTCTGCAATATACAGTCAATATAACTGCAGAAAACAATGTTTAGATTAAGGTTGAAATTTAAATGGAGGGTTTAAAAATAGCCTGCAGAAGCTCCGACAATAGTTTATAAATGTTTCTAGGGGAAAAAATAATTTCATAAGCTTCAGAATTTGTTTAAATGAGACTTTTGTTGTGAAGGACTGAAGGAAGTTCTTGGAATTCCATCTCAGATGTAGATCAAACCTTGCATTCATTGAAATAACTTGCTTTCTTATAAAATACGCCGTCACTTCCTGACTCTCGTCCACTTTGGAGTTTTTTACGTCTCAGTGGACTTAATATCTCTTGGTAAAATCCATACATTTGTGGAAAAGTTTGTTTTCTTTTTTATATATAAGTAACAGTTTAGTTCAGACATCAATCAGTTCCACTGGAATACGTTCTTATAAAAGGACATTTCGTTAGTAGTATGCTAATGATTTGTAAAGATGTGCTTTTACACGAACATTAAAAATTAGAATAGCCCATTGCAGATAATTCTCTGAGCAGACTCCGTTTGGGGAAACAGAGTTTAAAGACCAAGTTCACTAGTTTTTTTTCCCCAACACATCTACAGTGGTCTATTGTAAATGAATGCCTTCTGATCTGCAGGAAGAAAGCTCTCAGGCTCCTGTTTCAGGAACTAGAAGTGAGCAGCAACAGAGGTGAGCTTCAGAAGGCAGGATTTAAAGTCTTTTTTTCCGTGATATTCGATCATCTCGCTTCTGATAGGCTAACAGCCTTCCCTGTCGCAATCCCAGATGGGCGAGTCCATGAATGAAAATCTGACAGTAAGATGTGTAAATGGACGGTAACCACCTGGCAGCACAGGTTATTTGATAAGTGTTTGATGGTGTTACGCGTGCGTTGCACAGTCTGTGGTAATGACTGTGACACGTTTACACGTTCATCATTCCAGAAGGTGTGTCCAGCAGGTACAGCTCCGCTCAACCGTTTACATGCAGAGGAAGTTGGTTTCCAACTGCATTATCGGGGTACTTCAGCTCGATTATAATCAGTTCACCTTCAGCCAGGCTAACAGCTTCACACGCATTTCAAAACAACAACTTCAGTCGACATCACACAATAGTTGCATTCACTGCTGCTGCATCTAAACGCACTGACTGGCTTTTCTAATCTGAGCCTTCCCCTGTCTAGTCTTACATTTAGCCTGCATGTTAAACTCAGAGAGACTGATCATACCTCAGAAAGAACATGCAAAAACAGTTTATCAGTGAACTTTAAATCCAACAGGATCGATGAGCTAATAGCCAGTCTGAGCTGCTTCAATCTTGAGCAATTCATGTAATATTCATCTATGAACCAGCACTACTGGCAGTTTGACAGTAGATTGATATTTTGGCAGAAACAAAGAATTTGCTGCCAGATTTGCACCTGGGTGCCACTGGCTGCGATGTTTCTACTTGTAAATAAACAGAATGTTGTGTGTATAACAATGATGTGAAGCTCTATAAGTTAATACTGCACAAACTGCTACAAAGATTTGTGATTTTAAGCCAAAAACACAACAATTTGATCCATCCGTTAGCTCATAAGTCTTGTAAGGATAAAAAGTTCCTCTCAACAGTATAAGCTAATATACAAAAGGTAAAATAACTTCTGATCTTGCACTGACACCCTTCACAACAGCAGAAAATATCCATTCAATTTTTTTTAAAGTACAATGATTAGGGATGGGTGCCAAAACCAGTTCGTTTTAAAGGCACCGACCGAGGACCGATTCATGGGATATGAAACGGTTCCTTGTTTTGGTTAGAGTTTGGTACCGGTCCTTCATTAACGAGAGCTTGCTAGACAGCGATTTGCCAAGAGCAGCGCATGCGCGAGAGCGTGATCTTGTCAGTCGCTGTGGGCGAGATGTAAACAGAGCAAGCAGCATGGTAAAAACAAAGCGCTCTATAGTTTGAGTCTACTTTAAATGCCTGGGTGATGACAACACTGACAATGTTCTAAGTGAGTTATCTGCCGTTTCTCATTATGCACACTTGTCCAAACTTGTGTACTCACGTCCTCGTGACACGTCATCAGTGATGGCCCAAGGATTGTTTTAATCCCAAGTATGCATAATGGCAGTTCACCTAAAGTTCCTGGATGTGTTCTGGCCCTGCCCGTTGTATCGAGGATGCATGAATGCATCCTTCTGTGGACATGGGACAGCAAAGACCCCATAATGCACTGCGTAGCAAACCGTTAAACTCTGAATGTTAGAGGAGAAATCTAATAACTGTAATGTTTAATATTAGAAATATAAATAAAATAATATAAGTTGTCTGTTATCGTAAATAATTTTGTGAAAATTGTAAATTTTGCTGCATGTTTAGGTTTCACTCTTCACGATCCTTCAAAATGCTAATTAGCTAACCCACATTCAAAATAAAAGCACCGTGGCTCTGTTCTGATGAGATAAACTTTTTTTTATTGATCAATGCTAGTATTTTATTAGTTTTGATCAAAAGTGGGCCAAATATAACACAAGTAATATGTTTTCGTTGTTATGTTGTTTTTTAAGGAACAAACTACACTTTTATTTTTATGTCAGGTTATTTTTTAACTGTAGCAAGAAGCAGCGCTTGTTGCCAGGACACAACGTTTCTGTTCCAAATCGTCCTCGTCCTCCCGTACTCAGTAGAACAGACGTTCTGGTGCCCTTGCCAAGAACGTAGTTGTCTAGTACACAGGAACGCCATTGTCTTAATCTGCTCCAGCAGGTAAAGAAACTGTTTTAGATAACGTTAGCTTGATCCTTTAGCTTCCACAGCTAATGGTGCATTCGCTTTCTCCTCGGTACTCAGAAATTCGGACTTCCGAGTAGGAAAAATCAACTGTTTTTAAAAACAACAGAAGAATGAATGAAGATAGAGTAAATTTAGCCTAAGTCGAGAGGCCCAGACTTCCCTCTCACCAGCCACTTGGGCCAGCTTCTCCGGGGGAATCCCAAGGCGTTCCCTGGCCAGGCGAGAGACACAGTCCCTCTACCGTGTCCTGGGTCTACCTTTAGGTCTCCTCCCGGTTGGACGTGCCCGGAAAACCTCACCAGGGAGGCGTCCAGGAGGCATCCTGACCAGATGCCCGAGCCACCTCAACTGGCTCGTCTCGATGTGGAGGAGCAGCAGGTCTACTCTGAGCCCCCCCCCCCCCCCGAATGACCAAGCTTCTCACCCTATCTCTAAGGGAGAGCCCAGCCATTCTTCAGAGAAAACTCATTTCGGCCGCTTGTATCTGCGATCTCGTTGTTTCGGTCACTACCCAAAGCTCGTGACCATAGGTGAGGGTAGAAACGTAGATCGACCGGTAAATCGAGAGCTTCGCCTTCTGACTCAGCTCTCTTCACCACGACAGACCGGTACAACGCCCACATCACTGCAGATGCAGCACCAATCCACCCATCGATCTCACGCTCCACTTTTCTCTCACTCGTGAACAAGACCCCGAGATACAAAAATATTAAACACTCAAAAGTATCAAGCATTGGTGCTGTTAAGTACCGGTATCGATTACTAGGTACCGGGAATTGGTACCGAATCAATTCAGATGTGAAAGGTACCCATCCCTAACAATGGGAAAAAACTGCAAATGTGTGTTTTAACTGATCCAAATTTGGAAAAAACAACCAGAAAATCACGAGATGTGAACATTATTTAGAGCACTTTCATAAATCACTGCTACAAATCATTTAGCATTTTATGAAACCCAAATGCAAACCAGTTGCAAATGGAAAACAGACTCACAGGGAAATAAATGAGGAAATGATTATAAGGAGCTTTTGTGTTCCCTGTTTAAGTCTCATAGATCTCCCCTTTCACACATCCAACACGTGATAGATGTTCTCCTAATGGCTTCCTTTTTAAACTCGTCCCTCATTAAAGGTAATAATCATAAAAACATGGAGCTGTTTTTGGTCCCTCGCCGCCGCTTTCCCAAACTGCTGCGCTCTACCTAAAACAAAGAGGCCACAAAACTCCCAAAGCCCAAAACCACAGCGAACATTTCCAGTTGGCCCATTCCCACTGGTGAGGTAAGAGAGCTGGGAGCTCGGACAAGAAGAGAGGCTGAACATCATTTACAGGAAGAGAAAAATCTAGAAATGTCAGCGTAGAAAAAAAAAAAGACAGAGGAATCAGACTGAAAAGACTGAGATTCTGAGATTCAGATTAAAATATCTGATCAAATGTGCATTAGGACAGATTCAGATTTTTATGCAACCTGATTCCAGAATTAACTAAAATGGGGAGAAATGGAGTTTAATCAAACTAACATAGCATCATGTTGAGCAGTTTGAAGCTTCTGACAATGGCAGCTCAACAAATGCATAAAATGATGCAGAAACTGAAATAATAGTTTTTTTAAATTATGAACTTTGCACCTAATCTGCCAAAAATGCTGTTCTCAGCGTGAAACTTTCATGATTGCTTTATTATTATTATTATTATTGTGATAAATGTTATTCATTCTGTTCATATAATTAGTTTGTTTACATTCACCAATGAAAATGCAGATTTTATTTATATACTGTAACCAGATGGAGCGTGTTCTTAAAAATCTGGTGTTTCTTGATCATTATTGTAGTTTGTTGTGCTGCAAATTTAAAATGTGTCATAAAATTCAGCAATAAAGAAAAATATACTTATCATTTGTGCACCTTTAGCTAAGACTCTAAAACACACACACACACACACACACACACACACACACACACACACACACACACACACACACACACACACACACACACACACACACACACACACACACACACACACACACACACACACACACCTACCAAATAAATGCTTTTCTAGCTTTCCAATAAAGCATTCATGCTTCTTCTGAAATTTGAGAATTTAATTAAACAAAGTTCCAGCAGGTGAATCAAACATTTCTGTTTGTCTGTGTGGGGTTTTATATTTATTATATCAGCCTTCAAACTCCTAAAAGTCTGTATCACATGCTTTATTCGATCATTTTGAAAATTAATGCCCATTAATGCCGATAAATACTTTTTTTTTTCATATGCAACTGACATCTAAAGACAGCTGCTCCATGTGTCTTCAGATGATGTGCCTTTTCTACCATTTGCTGATGAAAACTCGAATTTTTTAATAGATTCCAGACAAATCTGCTGCTCTGTGCATCTTTGCAACAATGACTATCTGCCTCTCCTTGCATGGCAGCTCTGAGGTTTCCTCCCCGCAGATCTGATCTCATTTCTACACTGGCAGCATGGATCAGGTCCCAAAATCCTCAGGAGGGTTTTTCTAAACTTTAACATTTATTTACTTTAGATGCATCCACCTGTTCACCTGTACAGATGGTGTGGTGAAAATGGAAAGCTAAAAAGATTTCTTACCCCAAAGAGTGACAAGAACCACCACGGGAAACGACCCCATGTCGCTTTTCTGGAGACACAAACGAGCCTCACTGGTCACACGGAAGGTTTATGTTCTGATCTTTTAGTTATACCCACAGGAATCCCGACATCGTTTCATAATCCAGTGTGTGACGCAAAAACTTCTGCAAAACCCGAGCATTTTAAAGAATTGAGAAGAAACGCGCGTCCGATTCACCGGAGAACAGAATTTCTCAGAATGAGACTCAATTCCAATGTTGTGGCAGAAGTTTGGCTCCGGTGTTTAAATTTGGGGATTTTGGTTAGTTTTACGCGCGTCCACTGTGCGTCCTGCGCTCTGGAGGAGTGTTTAAAAGTGCGTCCAGACTCCAGAGTCACCGCCCCAAGGAGATGTCTCATGGGCGGAGAGACTGTTTAAAAAAGTTAAATCATCCATCTGTTCAGTCAGCAGGTTTGATAAAGTAAAACACAATCTAACGCCTTTATGATCCAAACTGGATCTAAAATCTGCATCATATCATTTTAAATCTGATTTTTGTAGATCTAAAAGTAACTTTTTGTGCAAAAATAGACATTTAAAAATAAGTAAAAAGCAAAAATCTATGTAAAAATGTAATAACTTTTTTCTAAAGTCGGAATAAACCCTACTTTCAAATATGATTGAGTCTGAAAATGTAAAATGTTGTGAAAAAAGTAATAAAATGTATGAAAAGTAAAATTCAGCTTAGTCAGAAATTAAAAAACAGAAAAAAAAATTGTTTAGAAATTTGACGAAAATTAAGCTTTAAAAAGTTAGAAAATGTACAAAAGTTCAACAAAAGATAAAAAGAAAAAAATCCAAATTTGTAAAAAGGTGCTAAAGCCACACTATGTAATGTTTTATTATTTTTAAATCATTTTCTTGAGCCAGTATGTGCTCAAATACCCTTTACAGGGTTCATGAAAAGTCACTCAGGTTCCCCCTGTGGCCAGAATACGCACTTGCAACTTCCGAGCAGCGGGCGCTTGCCATTACCCCGACTATCCACTGGCCGTGAAATCGGCTGCGTAATGTAATAGCCAAGTTTTACCTACAGGTCATGCCCAACCGGGAGCAATTCTGACGCAAAACGGGAGTGAAAGCATTCCACACAACTGGTCCGGTGACGTCACAAATCACGGGAGAATTGCAACACCACGTGCGATTTCAGACGTCCACACACAATAATAAGGAAGCAGAAAGACAGCTGCATTAATCAGAAAAGTTCTGTGGTTTATTTTCTCTTCTGTTTACATCGGCTATGGTGTTATAACAGGAAATGACATAAGTTTACTTATATGTTACACTAATTTGGAAAGTTTCCAGCTGTGCTTTACGCTGCTTTGTGTTTTACTTCCTGTCTGCTGCGAGCTGAAATGTGGAGTTTTATGTGTTATGGAAGCGTAGCGCGTAAAAACTAGACTCAAATCGTGATAACGTGCCCTCACTCCTAGGGCACATCCAGAATGTCACTTCGCTGCCGGTGGAAAAGAACTAATCCACAATAACGGCGGCTAAATGCCGTGTAGTGTTTCGCGGCCGTTTCGCGACGCTTTCATGTGTAGTAGAAGAAAGGGGTTAGACTTTGTAAAGTTGAGCCGACATACCAGGCGCTGCACGTTTTAGATCGTGAACACAACTGATTTGTTTGATTTAGTGATGAATCGCTCCTGTGGACACTAATGAAGGCTGAGCAGACATTTTAGCTGTTAAGTTGTTAAAAAGAAACACAACAAGGAGATAAGTTACAATTTCGGTTAACAACAGGGCATTAATGACAGACTCTAGGTGGGGCTAAAAGCAAGCAAAACTGCATAGCTTCCCTTCAGAAAGTAACAAAGTACTTAAATTTTTATTTTTTTTTTATAAAAACGCAGAAACAAGGTTAAACAAGTAAAAAATGAATTAAAAAGTCCTAATTGCCCCCTGGGAGACACCCGAGGGTTAAAACTGCTGAGTACCTTCAGTCTTTGCTCGCTGACCCGGCTGAAGCCTCTGAGATTACATCCTGTCAGTCATGACCAACATCCTCTTTGTTATCATTCATGATGGATCTTCACGTCTCTCAGATTAAACACCTTCAGTCTCCCTGCAGCAGAAGCAGCAGCACAGATTACCACTCTTGACTTTTTTAAACATCTGTTGCCTTTGACAGAAAACTCGTCATTGGTTGTTAACTTGATGTTTGTCCTGTTTTCGTCCCTCTGATCTTCTGACCCTCAGGTGACGCGACATCAAACGGACATTTAATTTTATATTTATACAGCTCGATGTCAGGGTTTGAATTGAAATTTGGATTTCTGAAAGTTTTAAAAATGACTTAGAAAATAAACAGAACATTTATTCTTGGTTACTTTTATGTTAAAAAGATTAAATAACTAAACCGCTCTAAACTCGTAAATTCACATCATGATTTAGGACCAGTCAGTGTTTTACCTGCAGTAGATAACAGTCAGAGCCCCGCCTCCTCCATGAAAGTCAAGGCGAAATAGTCTTTGCTAAAAAATCTATTTCCCTCTGGGATTAATAAAAAGTATTTTTGAATTGAATTGAATTGAAATAAAAACACATATGAGAATAATTGTCCATGTGTGCAATCCTGTTGATTTTTGTAATTCAAAATCCAATTTATTCTTGATTTTTGGCAATAATTTAATGTTTCAGAACACCATAATTATGTAACGGAGAGCAGGAGGGAGACATGATAACGGCATTGATAAACGAGATGTTTTGGCTTCACTTTTGAACCAACATGAGCAGAAGGAAAAGCTTTAATCAGCTGCCTGATTCAAAGCTCATCCCTCTCTGAGCTGCTGCCATTTGAGACCAACTGGAGACAAAAAAGCAACAGATTTCCCAACTCATGCAAATGTTGTGCAATTTATTCACAAGGATCCTAACTATTAACACAGTCGTGCTTCTAACTGCAGATTTCACCTTTCTTTGGTCCGTCGTAGCTCTGCAACCTGTTGCACTAACTTTCTTGAGAAGGTTTCGAGTCACATTGCAGATGCTTGTGATGACTTTGGGACCTTTTGGAGAGGAAATCTGTTTTTAAACATGTTAAACGTTCCAGGGAGTTCCTGAGTTTGTCGAAAACATGAAGAATTTGAATTTAAAATGGTAAAAAAGAAAATGGCCTGCATTTTATACAGCGCCTTCTAGAGTCCTAGAACCCCCCAAGGCGCTTTACAACACAATCAGTCATTCATCCATTCACACCCTGGTGGTGATGAGCCACAACCACCCCCTGGGTGTGCTGATGGAAGCGAAGCTGCCGAACACTGGCACCACCGGTCCGTTTGACCACCATCAGCAGACAAGGAGTGTCTTGCCCAAGGGCACAACAACAGTGACAGACTGAGCGGGACTCAAACCTGCAGCCTTCTGATTACAGGACGGGCACTTAACTCCTCTGCCACAGTCACTCGCTTTTAGATAAAATATGAAGAAACATGACGTGGTCACAAGATAACATAATAAAAGCACAGTGAAGTTCTAAGTCTCAGTGAAACATAAAACAGTGTTTCATGCGTTCATCTGATAATCCTCCCATTCTCTGTCACACTGAGGGAGTTTTAATCATTTCTGATTGTTTGGAGTCTTAGCCGCAACCGCTGCTTTCCTCGCTTCGCTCCACGCTATTTCCCCCTTTTTTCTCCTCCCCTCCTCTAATCCTGATCCTCCCTCTGGGAGAATGACTCCTCTCTGCCTCTGAAGCCCTTTTTCTCAGACTCCGGAAAAAGCCGCTGAGGTAGATCCGGACAAACGTGTTGATGGGATTTAGAGGACGCCTCATGAGGGGCGTTTAATCAGAAGCTCTGAAACCAGGACGGCTTGTTCTGCTGTGTTGACCCCTCTGTTGTCCTGCGTGGTTCATCAAAGCAGCGCTGCTCCTCTTTGTGCTGCTGCAGGAATGCACCAATCTGTGCGAGGCTGCTTTGATTGTGAAAAGGCTCAAAGGGACAGTAAACCCACAGAAAACCAGTGTCCTGTGGTATCTGATTTCCTAGAAGAGGTAATCAAATCATGTCAGAGAGAACTCCAGTCTGCTGAGTTTGCACTTTGAACAACGGCATGTTTTTTGCATTAGGTCTTCTTCGTTAGCGTCGCCGACTGTGCCAGAGCAGATGAATGCAAGCAGGGACATTTCAAAGTCGCAGCCTTTCTGTTTCCTATTAAGCTGGCATTCTGGAGAGCTGGATGACTGTTTTCTGTTTGCCTCCCTCTTCGTGTCTCCCTGCAGGCCTTTGTGTCAATCCGGAGGGTGCAGCAAAAAGCGAAACGAGAGGGGAGTGGTGCACAGCAAGCGTAAAAACCACAGTTAATGGTTTTAGTCTTGATTATTTTGAACAGAGGAGTTGGATGAGGGTCTCACCCTGTGCAACGTTCGGTCAAATGATTTTATCCCAAAGACACCAGAACAAAGTAAATGTCTCCATTTCTGTTGTGTAAGAATCCGATCTTCTTGCAGTTTTGCTCCATGTTTCTTAACCCTCCCACTGTCCTAATGGGTGACCCCGCGAGGAAAGTTGACCATTGAGCAGGGTTGATGGTTTATCCCTTGAGGTCCACGTGGCAGTGATGAGGAGTGAGCACCACCTCACTCGCTTCAAGCTCCAGGCAGGAACCAGTGTGTGGGACAGCATCAAACCTAAACTGGCTCTTGAAGCAGCAATAGTCTGTAAATAAACACTTATCCTTTTCAGATGTCTAGCTCAGCACATTTAACAGCATTAAGCCCCCACAAGGTGATACTCAAAGAGTCATTAGCTGAAAACACCACACAGAAGGATCGTGCATCTCTACCTCTTTCAGGTCTTTGCAGATCTTTTTCCCCACTTACCCATTAATAAAAAGAAGCTAGGATGCATTTAGACTAATTTCTGGGTTTAATATGACACATTTTCTCCTCTGCTTTTCTACTTTCCTTGTTTTCTCATGCTGAAAAAATTGTGATCTAGATCAGATACAAGACTGGAGAAAAATAACCGAAAAAGTCCAACAAAGTCAGCAAATGCTCTTCATTCAATTGAAGTTGGTTTGATTGCCATCTTTCTTTAAAGTGCAAAGTAACAAACGTTTAAGCTGGTTCTTTTAACCCCCCACCCCCACCCCACCCCCCCACCCCCCCCCCGATTTATCATTAATGGTGCGTTTGATTTACCTCGGAAGTCAGAACTCGGAACTGGGAATGATGTCACACTCAAGTCAACGGCGTTCTGGTCATCTTCGTCGGAGAAGTCGGGATTCCAATATGGCGACGCCCTTGATAACTGTTTTTCCAGCTCTCAGTGGAAGCATGACTATTAAACACATGCAGCTAATCTACAGCTTAGAGTTGCAAC